CAGTGTGATTTTGAAATTCATCCCGTTGCTTTTCATAAAAGAGATTTTTTTAATATAAATTAAAGACATGTTTGAAGAATTGAAAAATGTAAACTTTAATGCCATTTCTGAGTGTGAACCCGTTTTTAAAAGAATTTATTTTTGCAACTGTTCTATTATTTTTTCTACTGAAGTTTAAAAAGGAAATAATTGTGAATTATCTAAACTTCCCTATTGGAAGAGTAATAGGATATATGACAATTAAATAATTCTTAAATTCTGAATAATTAAAAAAAATATATCCTCCTTGGATACAATTAAATATTTTATTACATCAAACAAATAATAAAATAATAAAAATATAAAAGCAATTAATTAAACTCAAAAGTATAATTTCAATAGTTTTTAATTATTTTCTTTTTTATGCTCCTAATGTAGCATCAAAAATAAAATTGTTCATTCTTCTAAGTTTCATAAAAGCTTATAGAATAAAAAGTTATATTCTTATTCTTTATTGGTTTATATAAAGGTTAAAGATAATTTATTTTTAAACATAAATTTCACGATTATTGCACTGCTGGTGTTCCGTACTTATTTAATTTTTCGTACGACCTTTAAGTGTCATGAATGGCAGTAGAAAACTACTGCTGTTGTCCTATAACTACTGTGCATAAATAAACGTTATTTTTATTATGTTTTAAGTAAAAAGTAAACATTGCTTTTGCACAATCTAGTTAACCATTATTATTCTGTATGTAACTTAATTTGCTGTACAAAAAGTTTACCCTGTCACTGAAGGATAGTGTGTTTGAATTTCATAGTTGTGTTGTCATATCCTGCTATGGCAACAGAAAACAACTTTGAGTGAAATTTACAATAAATACACTGCAATTGAGAGAACCCTTGAAAAAGAATGCAGCGTGAACTAATATTAAAAATGCAGTGTGCTAAAGGTTAATAATCATTAAGTTTACTAATTTACTTTGAAACAAATTTCTAGGAAAAATATTGCATTGTATAGAGATTTCTAAATTTATTATTTATACTTTTTATTTATAATGGAGATTCAGATTCAAGGAGCCGATAAGTGAGGAGTGAACGTGCCAATGTTTTAAAAATGTCTAAAAACTTTATTTACATAGAAAAAATATTTTTTTTTTATACAGATTAACTTTTTAGACTATTATCGTTTAAAGAAAACTAAAATTCAATTTCAAAGAAGACGTTTCAATTATGTGAAATGCATTTTTCGTTTTTTTTTGTGTTTTTGTTTTTCTAAGGAGACTCGTGGCTATACCTCATTCTTTCGTATTTATTGTTTTTCCCGTATATCTACGTAATCATAAGTTGCTTTCAAAGTGAGAATCTTAAAATCATAATCGCATAGTACCGATTTTTTTTAACAGTAGAAATTTCAAACAATGGGATTGAATCTAGGTCAATGTAGTTTTGATGAATCTCAAAACGCCCAGCAGTAAGACAAATAGGTCATTCAAAGTACAATCAGAACACGCACTGTTAAAAAAAAATTAATTAATTAAATCTCCTGGAACAACAACAAGAACAACGACTAAGACAAAACAGAAATAAGAAGACGGTGGGCCGACATTACCCGCGTCTAAAGTGTTTTATTTACCAACCCCTTACCAAACTGCCTGACACTAATGCCTCAGTAACCATTCCTACCTACTCACCCCACTACCAATTTCCCCACCTCAACCAGATTGGGCGACTTATCTTCCATTTTCTATGGATTGTTTTGATCATTCTTTACCCTCTTTAAATCTGAGTTGATATCTCAAGCAGCTCCTTTTTTATTTGACTTTATCACCTAAGAAGATCTAAGGAAAATAAATTATATAATTAATTTTTAATTTTTAAAAAATAAATTTCATTTATTCGAAAAGAAAAAAAAAAGTTTTTTCATGTAGTCAGCATAAATATTTGTCTCAAATATAATTTAAGAATTTCTTCTTTTATATGCAATATACTTTCATGACGTGAGCTTTCATAGATCTTCACAACTTACTCTCCTTTGTTATTCTATGCAACTCTTATCATCCCTCTTTGCCTGGGGTACTTGTTCTGCCATCTTTCAAACAAACTCGTCAAGTACAGGGTGGTCCGAAAGTCTTGTCAACCGATACATCATATAATTTTCTATTTCAACGTACTGTGAGGGTATTATCAAGGAGAGAGTTTCACATGAACGATAACAGAATACACATCAATTGAATGGCGCCGTTCGAAGAGCCTTTGCAACAATCAACAAAGCACAGTTTCGTAAAATATCATACCGGTGCGGGCGAAAATGATGGCGTTCATGCAGACCTTCTCGATCTGTGATATCGTCAATGAAAGTGAATAAACTGAATCCAGTACATGTGCTTTGTATTACTGTATTACTTGTTCTTCTATTGTTCTCATCACTTTTTGATAAGGGGTGACAAGACTTTCGGATCACCCTGTAGATTACTCGATGTTTCTACCTGTTTCTCTTGCCTTCATAAGGCCCATTTGAGTGTTAAATTCGCCAATCTCTTTGTCTCTGTTCGTAATGAGTTCAAGCGTGTCCTCAAAGAAACGTAGTTACTGTATGCTGATAGAATTAAACAACGCATATCATCACGCAAGTTCGTTTCTAGAGATTATTGTCGGCTCTGCAAGAGTGTGCTGAACAACATCAAACCCCTCAATGCCTCCTCTTTTCAATCAATCCTGTCCTGACATCTACAACAGGTAAGATTGGATGCTTTGCCGGGATATTCTCTTCCAACTCAACACTCTACTCATTTCGGGTAGCCAGACCTGATTTCCTTCTTAGAACAGAGGCTCTGCTGAATGCTATGCTCATAACCCTGTCACTGGTTTTGGACATCATTTCTAAATTAGACACCCATAAGGCAAGCTGGGGTAACGGAATCCCAGCTGTCGTCCTAAAGAAATATGCTCTCGAGCTGGCCCCAGTTCTCTCCAAACTCTACAAATTACCTCGTTGCTTTCTGCTTTCTAGCTTGTTGTAAATCCTCCTCTGTAGTTCTTGTTTTTAAGAACTCTGGAGAACCTTCTGACCCCCCCCCACTATCATCCTATTCATCTCCTACCGCTTTTTGGCAAAGTATTTGAGGCTTTATTCAATGCTGAAGTGATTAAGCATCTTACTTCTCACGACCTACTCTCTGATAAACCATATGGATTCCGTTTTGCCAGGTCTACCGCTGATGTTCTAACGGCCATCACTGAATATGGATATGAAGCTCTTGATAATAACGGCGAAACTCGAGCTGTGGCTCCAGATATCTCGAAGGCGGTTGACAAGGTTTGGTACGCTGGTCTCGCTTCCAGATCGTTTCACACGAATGCGGGTGTCCCTCAAAGCTTTATCCTGGGTCCTACGCGGTTTCGGACCTCCATCAACGATCCTCCTGATATCATCAGTTCTCAAGTAGGCATTTATGCAGATGACACTACCATTTACTCTTATCTCAATAGAAAATCCGTCAGCGCTGCGAAAGTTAACCTGGCCACTGCTCTTGAAAAGGACCTCCAATCAGTAATTAACTGGGGCAATAAATGGCTTGTAAATTTTAATGCCTCCAAAACAAAACTGCTCTCATTTAACCGCTATAGAGAAACTTTCCTGTCCGCCATCAGCATGGTTGATGTCAGACTCCAGGAGAACAACACACTGCGACTTCTTGGCCTCGCCTTTTCAACTGATTTGAAGTGGAACGACTACATCGAATTAATAGCTGCACCTATTGCAAGGAAACTGGGGTCACTGTGTCGTGCAAGAATTTTTTTTTTTTCCGTCAGGGCCCATTTTGCACATTTACAAATTTACCATTCATCCGTGCATTGAATAATGTTGCCATATCTGGTCTGGCGCTTCTGTTATTCATCTCGAGGGTTTTGACAAAATCTAAAGAAGGATCCTCAATGTAATCAATTCTGACTTTGCATTTCGATTTCAGTCACTTTCTGACAGACGTAATGTGGCTTCTCTCTTTCTTTTCTACAAATATTTTCATGGCAACTGCTATGACGAGCTTTTTTTCTTGGTGCTCCGACTGCATGAATTTAAGCGTGCTGCTAGATTGGCATTTAGGTCCCACCCCTTTACTGTTGAAATAGTTAAATGTAACCGCCACTTCTACTCCAACAGTTTCTTTTCTCACACTTACCGCGTGTGAAACTCCTTTCCGTTTACGTGCGTCCCTGATAACTACAATCTTCAAAAAAATTAAATGCAACGTTAATCGCCGTCTTCTATCTTCTTGAATCCCGTTCATCTTTTATCCTTTCCTCAATCCCCCCTATACTCAGTCTTTTCTCTCATTTTTCACTCTCTGTACCCCGCCCCTGCATACTAGTGAAATTCCCGCCTTGCTTGGGGTGAAATAGTTCAAAAAAGTCTTTTCTCAATTTTTATGTCATCAAAATACTTAGCTGCAGTTTATCTTTAATTTATATTCTACTTTACATTTAATTTTTTTATCCACATACTCTGCCTATACTATTCATCGGTAGAACCCTATTTTTCTTTCATCTGATCTGTGAGGAGATTGTCCAGCATTCATTATCATATAGGAGATTAGTTATTAGATAGTATTTCAGCACACTGTTCTTTGTTTATAATGACATTTTCATATCTCTGTACTTAATTTCTGAAAAAGCAACATTCATTATTCTGATGCACCTTCGGATATCTGCCTCTGTTTGATTTTGACGTCCCAGTACATAATGCCCTGCCTCTTTTGCTGACAACCATGCATCATTGCAATTACTCGTTCAGGGTGTAAAATCACTTTGTCTCTTCGCTTTGTTTTTAACTAAAGTGACATTCCTGAATTTCATTTGTTATAAATATTTATTAGCTTCGTCTGCCATACGTTTAGAACTCTAGATTAAGATTGAACTTATTACACTAGCTTATAGTTTGCTCGACGAATTTGGTGACCACTGCTCTCTAATTAACAATTCCGTGTCAGTATCCATTACACCACCTATACAGTTACGCTTATAGCACCTGGTATTCCAAAGCGGTGACCCACCTAGGTAATGACCAGGCTTGACGTTGCTTAACTTCGGTGATCGTACAGGAACAGGTGTTTCAATGTGACGTTGCCGTAAATCTCTAAAAGTAAATATGGCACGGAGACCAACTGAAAATTCTTAACAAACTACCTAAATATACAGCTATCTTCACCTTCTGGGTGGGAGATGAGAGCCCAAACAAAATACATGGGTATGTTAGCAAGGAGGAACTTTTAAGGAAAATGGAAACAAAAATGATACTTAGAGTCACTAAGGAGCACATGAAATTTCTGGAAAACATGATGAGGAAAGAAGGGTTAGAAAATTTGATACTCACAATACATATCGAAGGCAAGAGCTATGGAGGGAATCAGCGATTTATATACCTAACGAGGTTTTGTAAATGAATAGCACAACATGGAGTGGAAGAGATAGTAAAAAGACAAACATTGCTAAGAGCTACAAAGGATAAGAAGTCGTGGAGAACCATGATCACCAACGTCTTGAAGGGACACGGCACATAGAAAAAGATTGTTTCAACTATAATGTGCATTTAATATGGTAATGTGCTCTGGGATCATGATGATTATATTATAATAATAATTCTCCTTCTTCTTCTTAATAATAATTAGTAGTAATACTACTACTGTTTATTATTATTATTTCACGGTTATGCTATTTTAATTTACTGATGAATTGTAATTCTTAAATTATTGATTGAATAAGACCCTTGCGAGATCTATGACTACAAAATAGCCGTGGAAATTTCCTCTCGCCTCATTAGATATTTGCACTTAACAACTTTAACAAAAGGTTGTAATAACAATCATAAGTAATGCGAGTCATTATTTCAAGAAGTAAGAGGATATAGATGAAAGTGCTGGATGTGGTTGATAATGTGTATGCGTTTTATTTTTATCAACCAAATAGACCAACTAGAATTATGATACACAAACACATAAGAGCTATAGACACGAACGCTATCAGACAAGACGTGAGGCCTACTTAACCAATAAAAAATAAATAGCTCAAAAAAATAAATAAAATTATCAGAATTTTTATTTCTATATTTCATTTCTGATGAAACTTAAATAAAAGCGAAACATGTTCAGTTTATAAGCATATTCAATTTTTTCCTTATTCTATCATTCTGGCGGATTTTTAATCCATATTATATAATACTGTTTTTCGTAATAGAATAAAACAATTCGCTTAATTATATCTGAATCTGAACCAGGAATTTCATAGACATTTTTACATCCAATTTTGGCCTATATATATATATATATATATATATATATATAATGGACTCTCCCGACGGTTTCGACGTATGAGGATCTGACAGCTTATTGATTCAGTTATGAAAGTTTGTGCGATAATCTTAAGTGGCATTTAAGACTCGCTAGTGATTTACAAAGGATGCCACATATGGAGCAAGTGTGAGGATTGTGAGATGAGATCACTGTTAGATTGGCTAACCTTTTAGATCTTGCTCCCGGTTCTTGAAGATGATTCAGACAAGCAGATTGAAAATTGCTGAGTCCACTAAAACACGTCGATCTCCATTCTACCCGCTCCAAAGCTAAGCGCTCAAGGGTGTTACGTGGTATATTGACTGCTGACAAGTTGCTTTTCAGCAACTTTATATATATGTAATATATATATATATTATATATATATATATATATATATATTATATATATATATATGTATGTATATATATATATATGTATGTATATATATATATATATATGTATTATATATATATATATATATATATATGTATATATATATATATATATATATATATATATATATATGTATGTATTATATATATATATATATATATATATATATATATATATATATATATATATATATATATGTATTATATATATATATGTATATATATATATATATATATTATATATATATATATATATGTATTATATATATATATATATGTATATATATATATATATATATATATGTATATATTATATATATATATATATATATATATATATATATATATATATATATATATATTATATATATATATATATATATATATATATATATATGTATATATATATATATATATATATGTATTATATATATATATATATATATATATGTATTATATATATATATATATGTATGTATTATATATATATATATATATATATATATATATATATATATATATATATGTATTATATATATATATATGTATATATATATATATATATATATATATATGTATATGTATTATATATATATATATATATATATATGTATATATGTGTATATATATATATATATATATATATATATATATATGTATTATATATATATATATATTTATATATATATATATATATATATTTATATATATATATATATATATATATATAATATATGTGTATTATATATATATATATATATATAATAATTGATTATGGTGGTGGTAGTATTGTAGTTCTTTCGTATTATTATTATTATTAGTATTACGACAATATTATTGCTGTTACAGCACCAACAATTTTGAGACGAGAACAATGAAAATAATATCGGTGATGATAATTACAGAATGAATGATAATGAAGAGAGATGTTGATGACGCTGTGAAAGAGAAAGAGAACCTTTTTCTCAGAATTGGGAAACGTCCATCTGATTTCTTTTTGCAATCATTAATCTCATTAAATGACTCCCTTTGAAAGAGAGATATAAAATAATGAGGAAAGGGGAAGGCTTTGACGCCCCATTCTTCACCCAACTATAACCAACCCTTCACTGCTCCTCGACGTACCAAAAGACTAAAATATTTTCAGAAACAGTTTCCTGTCCTGATGTATGACGAAAACAAAGAACCATTATTAACGTGTTTGATATTTCTTTCATTTTTTTTCTTATCTTGTTCCCTCCATCTTCCTTTCTTTTGTTTTTTTTTCTCTCGTTTTTACTTCTTTTTAGTGATTCTCTTAAACCCATCTTCCTCATTTCTCATCATTTTATCATTCTCCCTTCTTAATTTCTTACTTTATTTTTTATCCACCAGAAAATTTAAGGTTTTACTATTTTCCTTTTTTCTTTTCGCTACTCTAATCACTTTTATCTATCCATCATCGTTTTTTTCCATCATTCTAAAACCATTTTTGTTTATCATTCTATGCTTTTCGTTATTGTATCTCCATCTTTTTTCGCGCTTCTTATTCGACAACTTCCTTTTCTTTTCCTGTTCGACTTCTTCCCTTTCTTTTCCTGTTCGACCTCTTCCCTTTCTTTTCCTGTTCGACCTCTTCCCTTTCTTTTCCTGTTCGACCTCTTCCCTTTCTTTTCCTGTTCGACCTCTTCCCTTTCTTTTCCTGTTCGATCTCTTCCCTTTCTTTTCCTGTTCGACCTCTTCCCTTTCTTTTCCTGTTCGACCTCTCTCTTTTCTTTTCCTTTTCGACTTTTTCTTTTCCTTTTCGACTTTTTCTTTTTCTTTTCCTTTTCGACTTTTTCTTTTTCTTTTCCTTTTCGACTTTTTCTTTTTCTTTTCCTTTTCGACTTTTTCTTTTTCTTTTCCTTTTCGACTTTTTCTTTTTCTTTTCCTTTTCCTGTTCAACGTTCCTTTTTTTTTTCGTGTTCGACCTTTTCCCTTTCTTTTTGCATTCGACCTCTTTCCTTTCTTTTCCTATTCGACTTCTTGTTTTTCTTTTCCTGTTCGAAATTTTCCCCTTTTCTTCTTTGATCACTTCCTTTTTTTCCACTTTTACTTCCTTTTCTTTTCCTCTCTTATTCATCCTTTTCTTTTTATTTTACCCTCTTCGTTTTTTCTCTTCTGTATCTACACCTTTTGAAGTTTCTTTTTTTTTTTTTTCGTTATTTTCTCCTTTTCCTCATTTCCTTTCAATTTCTTTTCTCTCTCTCTCATTCTTCCATCTTCACTGTTCATTTTTTTTTCTTCATTCCTTTCTCCGGACCAAAAACCATTAACTAAAAGACATGACTATCCTAGCATATTGCATCAGTAGACCATAAGGTAGTCTTTACTTTCTTTTTTTTTAATGTCGAAAGAAGGGGGGCGTGTCATGACTAATATATTACAGACTGAACCCATCACTTTTCGTATTGGTCCAGCTGTCACCGTTAGGTCCTTTAATTTTTTTTTTTTTTTTTTTTTTGGTGGCGGGATGAGGAGCTTTTTCAAAATGACCGGTTGTTATATCGAGCGTTTTTTATCATATTTTTTTTTTCTTTTCTCTTAAGAAAAGAAAAAGCCTAACTTTATGAATATTGTCACAGGGTTAGTAGGTGACAAGTCCTTCAATGAACACGAACAGCGAAGACTCAATTAGTAACCCTTTAGCGTCTGGTATTAACTTGAAAGCGGGAATTTCAACCAAAAATTATGATATTGCAAACTCGTGGACGGGGAATGAAAGGAGAAGAGGATAGAATATGTCTTTGATTTTGTAAATTTGGTACCACCCAATTTTTGGTACAATGAAAATAAATTGGATGATCAGAAGATGTTTTTTTAGTTTTGTTTTGTTTTCTCCTTTAGTCTTGCTGAATTTTTATGTATTTAATTTCATCTTTTAAAAAATTCTTTAGTTTTCTCCACTAAATGGACAAAAATTAAAATATCCCGATTCTGTTTGGAGGAGAAAAAAATAATTCCACTTAATTTAAATTTCAAAATAATTTTTTCTTTCTTTTCCTCCTTAATTTTTTAAATTTAAATTCGAAAAAAAGATTTTTTTTCAAGTTTGTGGATGGGTATTGTTATTCTTTAAAGATAAACAGTAAGTCAAGAAATGGTAACAAATTACTCTAAAAAAAGATGAATCTTAGGACAAAAGCCTCGTTCTGGATTTGTTGTTAAAAATGTTATTGTGAGCATGTACTGCCATTGGTGGAAAAAAATCGCCAACCGCTGAAACTCCTGCTCATTCAGAATAAAATAACTCATGAAAATCTTCTTCTATACGCCATGTCTCTTCAGGACATAGGTGATTATAGCTCTCCACAGTTTCCTGTCCTTTTTAGCTCTTAATAAATATTGTCTTTTTGTTATTTCTCTGAAACCTTGTTCCGCCATCCATTTCCTCAAGCTCACAAAGTAGGTTATGCATTGTTTGCCTCTGCCTCTTTTGCCGTCAATCTGTCCTGTGAGTATCAGATTTTTCAAGCCCTCTTTCCTCATTATGCACCGTAGAAATTTCAACTGTCTCTTCCTCATGTTAAGTATAAGTTTACTTTTTATTTACATTTTCTCTGAAACTTCGTCATTGCTCGCATGTTCGGTTCATGATATTCTCAGCATTCTTCTGCAGAACCATATTTCTGTTGCTTCAAGTTTTTTCTTCATCTTTGAGGAGATTGTCCAGCGTTCTTTGCCATGTAAGAAAACTAATATTGCGTAACAATTCAGTACTCTTTTCGTTTTTTTAATGTAATCTTTCTGTTTCTTCTCACTCTGCTTTTGAAAAGCACCTTTGCCTATCTCAATGTGCCTTCGGATTTCATTGTCGTATTTTCCGTTCTCTGTTAAAACAATTCCAGATATTTAAATTTTTGTACTTGTTTGATTTTGGTATCTCCAATTTGTAATTTGCATGTTGGGATAGAAATATTTTAAAATATTTTTGAGATATCACAGGTAAGATTTATGGAACATCTAAATTTGATTCACGCTATTGATTATATATATATATATATATATATATATATATATATATAAAGTCGACACAGTAAAAAAAGTTATTGGATGCTGGCAGAAAAGGAAGAGAAAGTTGTATTTAGAAGAAAGAAGGGTGAGGTCGAATAAGCGAGGAAAAAGGAAGAGGTCGAATAAGGGAAAGAAAGAGAAGGGTGAGGGTCGAAGCGAGGAAAAAAGGAAGAGGTCGAATAAGGGAAAAGAAAAGAAAAGATGAGGCCGAATAAGGAGGAAAAAGGAAGAGGTCGAATAAGGAAAAAGAAAGAAAAGGGTGAGGTCGAATAAGCGAGGAAAAAAGGAAGAGGTCGAATAAGGGAAAGAAAGAAAAAGATGAGGCCGAATAAGCGAGGAAAAAAGGAAGAGGTCGAATAAGGGGAAAGAAAGAAAAGGGTGAGGTCGAATAAGCGAGGAAAAAAGGAAGAGGTCGAATAAGGGGAAAGAAAGAAAAGGGTGAGGTCGAATAAGCGAGGAAAAAAGGAAGAGGTCGAATAAGGGGAAAGAAAGAAAAGGGTGAGGTCGAATATGCGAGGAAAAAAGGAAGAGGTCGAATAAGGGGAAAGAAAGAAAAGGGTGAGGTCGAATAAGCGAGGAAAAAAGGAAGAGGTCGAATAAGGGGAAAGAAAAGGGTGAGGTCGAATAAGCGAGGAAAAAAGGAAGAGGTCGAATAAGGGGGAAAGGGTGAGGTCGAATAAGCGAGGAAAAAAGGAAGAGGTCGAATAAGGGAAAGAAAAAAGGTGAGGCCGAATAAGCGAGGAAAAAAGGAAGAGGTCGAATAAGGGGAAAGAAAAGGGTGAGGTCGAAAAAGCGAGGAAAAAAGGAAGAGGTCGAATAAAGGAGGAGAAAAAGGTCAAATAAGGAAGACATAAAAGAAAGGAATCGAACAAAGGTAGAAATGAAAAGGGAGAAGTCGGATAAAAGAGGAAAATAAAAGATGTTGAATAAGGTAAGAAAAGAAAAGGAAGAGGTCAGACGAAGAAGTTAAAAAAGGTGGAGTTGGAATAAAGATGCAAAAGAAAAGGGAGAGGTCAAATAAGGGAGAAAAAGAAAAGGGAAGAAGCCAAACAAGAGAGGAAAAGAAAAGGGAGAGGTTGAATAAAGAAAGGAAAAGAAAAGGGAGAGGTTGAATAAAGAAAGAAAAAGAAAAGGGAGGCGTTGTATAAGGGAGGAAAAAAGAAAAGGGAGAGGTTGAATAAGGGAGGAAAAAAGAAAGAAGTCGAATAAGTAGGAAAAGGAACAAGCCAAACAAGAGTGGAAAAAGGAAGAGGTTGAATAAGGGAAAAAATAAAGAAGTTGAATAGGAAAGAAAAAAGAAAGAGCTCAAATGAGGTCGAAGAAAGGATGAAAAGAAAAGGAAGACGTCGGTTAAAAGCGAAAAATACAAAGGATTGATTGAATAAAGGAGAAAAAGACAAGGTTAGTCGAGTCAGTGAGAAAAAGAAAAGGATGCGGTCAAATAAGAGAGGTAAAAAATAAGATGACTGATAAGGGAGGAAAAGGAAGAAGTTGAATAAAAATAGAAAATAACAATAAGAAAGAAGTTTACCTGAATGATAACTTTTTGTAAACTATAGTAACATACTAGTGGCCAGAGAATAGCAAGGACAAAGCGTGGATTCATGCCTTTCCCAAATTGGTTTTATCGAGTCAGTGTTTTACGCTGAAAACCCTAAACCTTTCTTTTTTCTCCCACCTTATATGCAATGTCCTTTCAGCGACATGCGTGATCACGTCTCTCTACAATTTCCTGTCTTGTTGCTCTAAAATTTAGAGAACTATTTAAAGAACTATTTAGAGTCTAAATAGTTCTTACTCATTTATGACCCCCCCTTCTTTTTGCATTTGTGGCACTTTAATTTTCTTAAACTTATTAAGTATAATTCACCGTTTTCCCTGCTTCTCTTGTTTTTAAAGTGCCCTGTGAGTGTTGAACTCTCCAAACCTTCTTTCTTTATTATGTGTGTCAATAATTTCAGCCGTCTCTTTCTGATTGTTAGCATCAGTTTCTTTGTAATTTCTATTCTTTTTCATTTCTCATGTAATCTGTCCATGATATGGTCGCCATTTGTTAGAAGAACCGCATCATTGTAGTTCCAAGTCTTTTTTAATTAATATTATCATTAATCTATGACAAAATTCTTCAGCATTCACTGTCATATCGAAGCTGTCATGGAGCATCATTCCAGCACTGTTTTCTTCGTTTCTAAAGGGATTTGTCGATACCTTAATACTTTGCTTAATTTCTGAAAGGCATCTTTTACTATTGCTTGGAACTTTCGGATTTCTGTCACACATTCTCGGTTGTTATCTCGATTTTTCTAATTGTCGTACAAATCCTAATAATGTGAATTCGGGTAAAGGATTTCTAAATATCTTATCATTAGCGTCTTTCATTATCCAATGCATTATAAGGAATAGAATAAGTATTTAAAAAATGTTGCTTAGTGTTGTGGATTGCGGGTTGAAATCCGGTACCAATAAATAACAAACGCCAGGAATGAATATATGAAAATAATGTATTAACGTAATAATACAAACTGGTAAAGCAGGTTAGTAGTTCCAGGAATACGGTTAGTAGTAAAATATATATACAGTCTTTGGTATAGAAGTATCGCTGTATAACTTCTTACTGAGTCTACGTGCTCGCTCACTGTGACTCCTACAACGCTGTTACCTCACCCTTCCGGTTAGCTACAACCTTTTACTCTGGACTCAACTCGACGGTCTTGCTCTCGTCTTACTCTCGTGTCGCTCTTGCAGTAGTATATGTGTATACTGGGTGAGTTCCTTTGTATAAAAAGGGGTGGACCCCTCAACACTTAATTTATGCATTTCCGTCTTTTGTTAGAAAACCAAATGGGAAAGATTAACTTAATCGAGAAGCTTGAATGGATGCAAGTCTACATTATACCTCCGCTCTTAATAATCCAGAAATGATTATCCAGTTTATACTCCTCTCCTGCCTTTTGAACAAGAATATAGGTTTATCCTTTGTTTCCTGCTTAGGATTATGGTTCCGTTTCCTTCTAAAGTTTTCTCATTCTCTTTCCAGTAGTCCCCTTGCATCTGAGTGGCATTATCCCCTTGCTTGGGGTAAATTGATTTTAAAAAATGCCATTATTATATAATTATTACGTTATCCATGCAAAACAACCCGTAAAAGTCAGTTATAGAGCTAAAAAAAAAAAAAATGAATAAAAATCAACGTTCCAAAATTAGAACTTATAAATTTTTTTAAATATTTAACGGATTTACTTAATTGTTTTTCAACCCAAAATTTATTCGGTCAACTTTTAACACTCAATCTATAAGCAGTGCATTGGAAGTTGAAGTAATGGATTGTTAGCGGTAATAATATTTAAAAGCTGCATAAGAAATGATTTTACTATAGTAAAGCATAGAACATGAGTTTACTATAGAATTGCACAAGAAATGCTTTTACTATAGAATTGCTCAAGAAATGCTTTTACTATTGTTGTGTCGGAAACCTACCACCCCTCTTGAAGATGAACTTGTCTGTGAACAAAGACTTTAAATAGTGGCATGTCAGTTGACATGAGGAAGATAGATAGACAGAGAAGTTCTTAGCTGAGCTAGTTATTGACTACTCAGGCGATTTCTGTACCTTTTTACCAACCTATTAAAACCCTTTTTATTGTTACGTGTTATTTGGCATTTGTCTCTACTAACCCCAAATCAACATCATAACAACTATAGAATTTCACAAGAAATGCTTTTACTATAGAATTTCACAAGAAATGCTTTTACTATAGAATTGGATAAGAAATGATTTTACTATAGAATTGGATAAGAAATGATTTTACTATAGAATTGGATAAGAAATGATTTTGCTATAGTAATGCACAGGAAATGTTTTTACTATAGTAATGCATAGGAAACGATTGTACTATAAAAATGTATAGGATATGATTTTATTATAGTAAAGCAGAGGAAATGATGTTACTATCGTAAAGTATATGATTTTACTATATAAATTCACAGGAAATAAATTATTTTACTATATACATATATTGCAAATAAACAAATGATTGTCAGTACTTCGAGATTAATTTTAGCATTATTCACTGAAGTGGGCATTTACGTGTTCAATATACATGCATTGGTATATAAATTTACTAAAAAGTGAATTACAAATAATTTTACAATAGAAACGCATTGTAGATGATTCTATTGAATGGATTGAAAATAATAAGTGGTCCGGAATTAACGCAAGCGTTTTTGACAGAATAGGGTTGTTGTCACTATAATAATAATAATAATAATGATAATATAATATTAATAATATGTATCTAAATTATAAATTTTGTTGTATGACCATTTTGTACAGCTTTTAAATGTATAAATTTTGGCTTCTTGCATTTTGCTTGTTCAACTTTTGAAATACATGTTAATCAAAGTTTTAATTTCATTGTAAGCAGTTTCGACCACTTCTAGCCTGTAAAGATTTTAAAGAATGAGTCAAATACAAGCCAGAAGAGAGGTGGGCAGGTGGTTCAATTGACATGGGCCTATGATTTTGAGGAAGTCTACTCGTCCTCGTATAAGCAAAGGGAGGACCTTTTATAAAGAATATTGATATTATAAAAAGAGTCGAGGAGGATTTTTTTTAGTACAGATTATTAATATTTTCAAGAAGGTTCCTAAAGGATTTAGCACTGATTAAGAAAAATTCTTAATGAACAATTTGAAATGGAGCCAATATTTCCTTCCCATCTGTCCCCGACCCATTACGTAGACCTGGGGAAATACGATGAACTTATATAAAAGTATGTGTAATTCCTGTATTTAATTTTCTTTTTCTAACAGATAATGATTGAATATAAAATACTTAGATTTTTCCTTTTCCAGATTAAATGTACTGAAAACAAGCTGCGGTATTATCTGGTACAAAAATTAAACTGACTTAAGAAGCCTTTTATAAAACGCGATTTAAGGGTCCTTAACTTTGAATTCCTGGGAAGAATTTTTCAAGTGCTCCCGGTCCATTCCATTGAGGATTTTGAGAAGGAAATTGCGTAAAATTGCTTCTTTCTTTCTTTCTTTCTTTCTTTCTTTCTTTCTTTCTTTCTTTCTTTCTAGTAGAATGTGATCAAATACAGATCTATACTATGTCAAAACACTCAAAGAGGACAAAAGTGTAAATAAAAATGCTAAGAGCTCAGAAATCTTTCTAAGTCGATAGGTTACAGTTATTAGGTGTGTAAAAGTTCCTGGTGCTTAAACAGAAATACTGAATACACAGTTAAAAAATCGATTTTTGTCTCAAAAGTTTTGCACAGACTTCATATTATCAAAAGTAACCAGGCAGCTATCGGCGTGGAAAGGAGGATTTGGTGAGTGGAGTTAAAATTCAAGCTGAGTTCATTGCATTCGCTCTCGCACAAATACCCCTGGAAAGGTATGAATTCATCTGTTTTCTCAGGTAAGAGTGGATAGCAAGACAGTCTGAGCTCTCTAGCTTTGGTTGGCAACCAGCGTAGGAGAAGAACAGCTCTGAATTTAAAACTGGTCGAGTGTAGAGCTGGCAATTCAACCCCGTAAAACCAAATTGCTACGGAAACCACAGCAGTAACACCTAGTGTAGTGAAGCTGTGGCTCTTTACTCCATAGGGGAGTCTACGGTGTTAACACGACTCCACCCCATAAAAACCTAGTTACTATGGAAACCACAACAGCAGCACCTCGAGTAGTGAGGCTGTGGCCCTATATTCAACAGAGGAGTCTACGGGGTTAACATGACTCCATCCCATAAAAACGTACTTGTTATGGAAGCCACCACAGCAACACCTATTGTGGTGAAGCTGTGGCCTTATATTACACACTGGGAGTCTACAGGGTTATCATCGATCGCACATTGGAATTTTCATATACAACTTCATATAATAATAACGTGTCAAACTATAAACTTATTGATCTGACCTTGTTTATACGTAGCTACACTCTGTGCGATGGGTAAATTGTCGCCATTTTACATTTTTCATTTTTCATTTGTTTGCATTTGATTTTATCGACTGCACAGTATCACTGAGTCAGCTGGGTACCATCTGTGAGAAAAAGAGAATTATGACACAATTCACTTCACCAGAAATTTGGAAAATGCATGATGTACCATTTGACATTCGCACCGGAAGCTCTCATTTCTGAGTATTTGGGTGTCAATCTGAGGACTGTTGAAGAATTGGAAAGAGTTGGATTAGTCCAATGGTGATTTCGAAGGTATTGTAGCGTGTAAAAGTCACTCTGATCATTCTGATAAGAAAATAATCCCCGAATTTGTTGGTGAGGACCTCAGACTCAACACGGAGACCTATATCACGTGCCTTGAGGAGGTAGTGCTGCTCTGGGTCAAGAGGGTAGCTACTGGAAAATCCTATGTCTGGCAACAGGACTCTGCACCATGCCACACAAGCAGAAGTCATGGCTGTCAAACAATTTCTGCTACCGCATCACCGCTTACACCTGGCCGCCTAACTCCCCAGACTTGATTATTATGTGTGGGGCACAGTTGAGTGAGAGACCAGCAAAACTCCTTGTAACACCAAAGATGAACTGAAGGCAAGGATTATGGCAGCATTCACCAACTTAAACAAAAAGATCGCCCAGAAGAGTTGCAGGAAATATCGAAGCCAGTGGCGATTTTATTGAATGAATTTACTCTTTGGTATTTCAAGATATTTTTGTGTAATTTTGGTAAACATATCTCTTAAAATGAGATGTCATTGTAATTTTCATTTTTGCGTAAATTAGACAACAATTTATCCATTGCACCCTGTATATCAAACATTTCATAGCTGAACGATGAAAAGAGCATCTATTTTGGTACGAGAAATATTTTTTTCAACGTAATCTCCTTCATTGTTAGTGTATTTAATTCATGGGTGAATATTGAACATTATACAATGAAAAGTTCAGATCAAAACTCAACTTATAATTATGTTTCCGGCTACAGAGTTATTGATCTAATCTCATAATCTTCATATATTAAAATCGAATAAACCAATTCCGTTATTGTTTCTGATGAGTTTGGAATTAAGCTTTTGGGAACTTTATGACTAACAGAATCTCTTCTTGACAGCTATCCAATAATGAATCGATATTTTTAGTTACGGGATGAGACGTGTATTTTAAAGGGAACAGATATTCAAATTTGTTATTGCTTATTTCGGCCAAATTATAATTTCGCTATCATTTCTCGATTTACTTTTATTGTCTATTTGCTTTTTCGTGTTTTTCTGAATTTTTGTGGGTGCGTATTCTTATTATTTTTGTTTTCGTTTGTGTGCAGTGATGCATGATTATGATCGTATCCATTGGGATATGTGTGTATGTACGTGTTTATAAGAGACACACGTGAGTGCAAAATGGGGCCAATTTGGAACATGGTCATTTTATTTTATTTTCTCTTCCTTTAATGTTTTTCCGCCAGTTTGCTTCAGTTTATTTTCATGATATTCATTTATTTATTTGGCGTTGTTCTTCTCTTCTATGGCCCTTTTACATTCTCTGATCTTCGCCTGTCTTCCAGTTGTTTTATGGATTCATTTTTAAAAGCTCACTTGAATAAAAAAAAAAACAACAACATAGAGATGTTTTTAAAAAAATAGATCGTTTCAAGAGTCAAATAAAATAACGTGTAAAAAGATCCTGCATATTTGGCATATTTTAACCGCAATAAAACAAAGCAATGACATTTACATAGAAATAAAACAAGCACAAGGCCTCACAAATTGAGTAATAAAGCGTTTTATTTACGATTTATTTATTTTTTCTTTCATAATTTCGCTTATCGTCCGGTTCACACTCCTCCCCTGTCTTTTGAACAGGAGTAGAGGTTTATTCCTTGTTTACTGTTTAGGACTGGATTTACGGTTCTTTCTAAAGTCTATTTCAATTTCTGACGTCTCCACCTGAATTCAGAAATTTTATTTACTATGTATTTATTTTTCCTCAATAAGATAGATAGGTTCACGCTCCTCCTCGATCTGTTGTTAACAGGAATAGAATTTTCTCCTTCTCCCTTCACTCCCAGTAGCTCCTGGCATTATCACCTTGCTTGGGGTTAATCTATTAAGAACAAACACGAAAACTTTTGCAGTAAATTGTTAACTGATTACTAATTAAATACAATAATATATGAGATCAACCAATTCCTTTACTTTACCCAGAAGTTTCTTATAAACACGCACATATAGGTGCGTGTTTGTGTGTGATTTGCATATTCTTTTTTGTACATAACGGAATTCTATTTTAAATACATATTGTTGATTCCAATCTATTGTGGAATGACTGCAAAAAATTTGCTCCTCCCCAGTTTATAATCAGAAGCACACAAATGCATGCTGGGATATATTCCCAGTCAATAAAATAGCCCGGTTCTCGGTTTCACCGTACTCAGTCTCGGTCTGCATAGTCTTGAATATATATTAAATATATAAGGAATGGATTATGTATGTATGTAGGTGTGTGTGTGTGTGTATATATATATATATATATAAGGATTATGTATGTAGGTATATATATATATATATATATATATATAAAAGGACTGGATTATGTATGTAGGTGTGTATATATATGTGTGTGTGTGTGTATCCCTATTTATGTACTTATGTTCAAAAACGTTTTATTAGAATTGACTGGCAATGTTTGTGTTTTTTGGCTTTTATTACATTTTCTCAAGTTGTGTATAAGTTGTCGTGTATCCAGATCATATTTATAAAGAAACTGTTCAAAATTCATGATGTCTTTGTTCGAGAACTTTCCTCTCTCTCTCTCTCTAGTCATTAGTTGGAATTTAGAAAAAAAAAAAAAACTATTAGCTTCACCGTGACATTTTATAAACGTCTAAATATACGTGTATCAAATACGAGTGACATCATGTGTAGAATGTGTGTAACGATATGTAAGGGATATTCATTTAAAATTTTAAAAATGTATTTTCCGTTGCATGTGGGTGGGTGGGGGCACATAACTTGACAGTGACGAAAAACAAAGCTATTATTACATTTTTTTTTTTAAATTTCAAGCTTGTTTTAAAAATGTGTCCTTGTCATTTTCATCGGCCATTATCATCATAATTATTATTGTAATCATAATTCTATGGGCATTATTGTTCTTTTTCATGCCATATCCTTTCGGGACGTGGGCGATCATGGATTTCCACAAAATTCTGTCTTTCACTGCTCAAAGTAACTGTTCAGCCTTTACTCGATCGATCTATCTTTGTCCTGTCAGCCATTCACTCAAGCTCATTCTCTGCTTCTCTTGCCATCGATATGTCCTGTGGGTGTTAAATTTTCCAAGGCCACCTTCCTCATTATGAGTAAAGCACTTTCTAAACATTTTCATCGTAGTAAATTGTTTTGCGAAAATGTATAGAAAGTGCTTTTATCGCTGGATCATCCACAGTAAATTTCTGTCCGGGTTCTTAAAACGTTTCACCTTTCTTGACAAACCTCCTATTATGACAGTGCGAGATATATAATAACAAAAGTGATGGAAACATAAACAAAACGAATCTAAATGAAATCGGCGAGATTAAATACCCAAAACACATATTTAAAAAAAAAAATTAAATTTAAACTTATCAGCGTCTCGCCTTCGCTCGTGCGCATGCGTAGTCGTACCAACGTAAACATAAACTTAGTCTGATGAAGTCTTAAAAAACAAAACGCGTCACACGGAAACAGAAACTTTTTTCACTTTGTCATAGTTCTTTCCCCTAAAATTGTTCTTGATATGTGAACAAATTATATATAGTTTTCCCGTATATATATATATATATATATATATATATATATATAAAAGAGAGAGAAGGGATTCATTGAAGATGACTGACGAAGAACTTCGATTAATTTTTTCTACTATATTTTTCTTGCATTCACACAATAGATTTCTTTTTGGGGACATAGTGTGTGTAAGACCTGTCCAAATGATTTTTGAAGTCGAGCGCTTTCAGCTAATCAATGTCCTAACTGTGTTCGGGAATTAAAATATTGATATTTCTATAAAAAAAAATTTGATATTCAGACAAAAAAAAATTATCCTTGATCAGTGGAAACCCCTCGGACCCAAAGATCATTTGGACAGTTCGTACACACTCTATATCCAAAAAAGGAACTTTCCTTCCAACTCAAAGCATGAAAATTATTTATCATGTCTATTTATTTATTACCATGTTTATTCGAATATAACGTGTGGTATATTGTATGGGGAGCATGGTCAAAATAGTACTAGAGTTGACCATATTATATATATATTGGTAGTTTTGCTTACTTGTACCAACAAAGTTACCGCTGCGTACACTAGTCGCACACTCAAATCGCGACATTTGTAGACGACACATTTTTATTCATGGCTGTTCTTTATTTGATTAATTTGGCTGATTTTACGATATGCCAACCCAAGTTATTTAGGGTTGAATTTTTATATGGGGTACTCAGTGAGAAAAGAACTCATTACTCAGTAGTAATGGCTAGGTTTTCATACCACCTCCTTTGTCACGCATATCCCACTCATCCTAACCATTTTAATAGTAACCCCCTCCCTTTGAGTCTACTGAGCCTTGTGTTGGATGTCTAATTTAGTGTGGAACGCCTAGTGAGGCTGGAACTCGCTACTCACTAGAAATGGCCAACCAGGCTAGCCTTGGTAAACTATTACTTCACTTTCAAGTGTCTTTTTGATTGGTTATAACGATTTGCACTGTTCATTTACTTATTTTGAATAAGCACCTCGCTTATATTAATTTTTCCTATAAATCATGGAACTGTGCTTTTTTTTTGTTTTTTTTGTTTTTAATCATTTGACCCCTAACAAGGCAATACAACCGCTAAGACGTAAGGGGTTATTGAGTGTGAGGGAATATGAGAAAAAAGAAACCGATGGAATTATATAACAGGAGAACTATACAACATGAAATGACAGAACTATATAATTGCAGAAATATATAGCATAAAATGGCATGGAAGTGTAAGAGTCGCTTACACATTAATACCGGTTCTTTTTTTTTTTTTTTTATTACATCAGATTTACGAACATAAGCGCTTAATTATTCCAAATCTAGTTGTCAACATAGTCTCAATCGTGGCATTACACGTTTGCATGGGGGCAATTCCCAATGATTTGGTTTATTTTTTTTTACGGCATATCAACTTCAATGGATTATTTACATTATTCGGACTGTTGTCCTCATCTTTATTGTCACGTTCACGACGTTCCGGCTTTCTTCGGGTATTTGGAATTTCGAACTGAACCCTTTATTTCGTCCACCGGCGTAGATTGTTCTAGTTCCTCATGACATGCCTCTTCCGGATGTCTCTCAGTTATCTCCTTTTAACTCAACTCTCCAAGTTTTTTTTTTCACCATTGCCATAGCCCGTCATTGAACTCACAATTCTTTGGATCAAGTCACTGGATACAAACAACGCTTTTATCCACTGGGCCATGTGTCCTTGAGGCCGGAGCGTACAACGGCCGAAACGTTATGGACATGACAGTAAAGATGAAGACAACATTCCAGACTGTAAATAATGTAAATACTTATAAAACCTCATCTCAGAAATATAAACAGATATTCAATGGGTTATTTAATGCTGACATGATTTTCAGGATAGGTTCGTATGAATAGAATATGTATTTTTGTAAGTAATCTGTTTGTAGATCAAGTTTCATTGATGTATTTTTGTAAGGAAGTTTTTTTTTGTCGAGAGTCAATGTATTGCTGGTAATATTTTCAAAAATGTACTGCTGGCAATATATCTATATTTTCAAAGATGTATTGCTGGTATTTTTACTAAAAAATCTATTTTTATACTTTCATAGTGTTTTGATACCAGCTTGCCGCTTAACTATTTGCTCATAGCTGGGACCCTAACAGGTGTAACCCCCCGACGAGCTGCTGGTGCATTGAATTAATCATGTGCTAGTTGACTCCTTCATTTCATTCTCATTGGAGAAACTCTGTACTCTGAGTGCTATCTGTGTTGTAGAACCCAAGAAGCTATTGAGAAATCATCCTCTGCTTTTTCGTGAAGTTTATTAGCATTGTAGGAATTTACGGTGCGCAAACCTTTGAGAAGCCAAGAGATTGCACTAAATTGCAGTTACTACCATGGCTCACCTGAACACTTACGCAAAGTTTTGCACAATTGATATTCGTTGGAGTTTTAATAAGAGCAGCTCCGTGTCACACTAATGTTAGTTTCTCCTTTCTCTCCCGGACTGTCATTAACTCAGTTAACCTATGTTTTCACTGCATAATCAGTTATATTAAGTACAGCAATTTCATGAACATTAACTTATCTACTGTGACTGTAGCATTTTCTTCTTCTAGAGGACAGAAATTCTATGACAGCTCTTTGCTTTTGATGTGTATCTACGGGAAGAGTAATTCTGAAAGACGTTTATGTGTAGGAAAGGAGACGGTAACGTCATAAATTCACCAATAGGCTTCGAGGAGTTTTCGGTTTATAGCTTAAAAAATAAAAATTTTATTACTTTCAAAAATTAACTAAGAAAAGGCATTATTTTTTCAACTGACCCTCGCCTATAATAGTATATAACTAAACGTCGATGTAAAATGGTGAGCTAAATTTTCCTAAATCACCGGATCGGAAAAAGAAACTTGAAAAAATACTGCAAATACGCAAGAATTAAAGCAAATATTTATATTTAAAAAAAAGGGCTACGATTTAAAATCTATTTTAATCACTGTTAATACACTTTTATTTTAAAGGAAATGAATTTAAGAAGTCCGCTCTGTACATTAACGTTTTTCGTTTTTAAGTTTGAATAAATACAAAATGACAGCTGAATAGTAATAATGGGAAATAAAAATGTTTTACGTCTGAAATTTCTCAGAGATTCAATTTAATTTAATTACGATTTCATTTTTTAACTGTTGTCTATTCAATAATTTCATTGTCACTCTTTGCTTACGTCAAGTCGAAAATTTCCATCAGTCGCCCGCATTAATCTCTCGCCCTGATATTTTTGCTCGTGTCGTTTTCACTCTAGGTTGCTTGAAGAAACAAGCCCTCATTAAAAATTAATTTTTTTTTTCAAAATATAGAAATCTAATAAAATAAAAAACCTAACAAGTCAGAATAAATGAAAAAAAATTTCCAATCAAAATGAATGTTAGTTCAAAAAATATTTTAAAAACATAACCAACCAATCAAAATAAAGGAAAGAGTCGAAACAGCCAATCAGAACCAGGAAAAACCTAACACGCTTCAGCAAAAAATAATATCCAGCCAATCAGGCAGGTAAAAAAGAAAAAGGGAGTACAAATGGCCAATCAGATTGTCCCCAAAATTATATGTTTAATTAAAGGGTCCAGCTGCTGTTGAAAACAAAAGAAAAAGAGAAAGCCAAGAGACTAGATAAAAAGAGAGAGAGAAGTGATGGAGAAGAAGAGGATGATGATTTCGTATTAAATCCAATATTCAACTTGGAAGGATTAAATTATAAATTACTGTAGGAACCTTCTGTTTTAGTTGATGAGGGAGATGCCCATCCAGTTGCAAGAAGGGCCGAGTCAGAGAAGACCAGAAGCGTCTGCCCCTTCCTATAATTACGTCGTCTTTAATTTAGACATGCTCGACAACCGTGCTGTGGGACCCAGGTGTTTACCAACTAAAAACTGTTAGTCGACAACCGATGCATCTCAGCAAAAGAAGACAAGACACTTATAGCACGACGGTAATTCAATATTACTGCTTTGCGTAAGCCTCTTGCTGATCTTAAAATAAATAATTAAAATTTGTCATGAAAAAATTAAATAAGATGCAAGGTAGAAACAAAAACGAATTTTTTTTTTCCATAACCAAAATTGATAAAGAAACAAGAGGTGTAAAAGTGAGAAGATAATCTCCCTTTGCTATTCTTTTGTGTGCCGTGTCTCTTCTGAAGATAGGCGATAATTGTTCTACACATCTTCCTATTCTTTGTAGGCTACTTGCAGTGTTTGTCGTTTTACTACCCCCCTACTCTCTGTTCGGTCATCCATTACAAGAACTCGGGAGAGTTATTCGATATTTCCCTCTTCCTCTATATGTCCAGTGAGTGTTATATTCTCCAAGCCCACTTTCCTACTTATGCTAATACCAGGCGGGACGCAGCAAAAGATGAAACGAGTTTGGTTCTTTTAATTCTTACCCTCGTAGATGTCAGATAACAGATAAAGAATTGTAAAAACGAGCCAAATCATAAAGAATAAAACTAACCCCCCAAAATATATTTGAATGGAGATAATTCGAACTGCTACTTTGATTCACCTTAACTCTTGTCATTTCTGATTTCCTGTATATAAAATGATCGCCAGTTGAGTGAAGTCAAGAGTAGTCGATTTAGTGAGTCAAGTTAAATTCGTTGTGATACTTTCGTCGCCACTTTTGTAATGTCAACGAATACTCGTTGTCACTTTCGTAATACTCGTTGTAGTAGAGACTTTGTAATCGCAGATACAATTATAGTAACTCCGTTGAACAATGTTGGTGTCAGACGCCTTCGAATAGCACTCGCACTAATAGTACTTGAACGAAACGTAACCACCATATAGTGACCCGAATAGAGAAATAGTATAGTGATTAGTATAGAGAATAGCGGTCCGTATAGTAATAGAGGATAGAGCAGAAATAGCTATCCGAATTTTAATAGGAGATAGAATAGAAATGGCGATCAGTTAGACGCCAAGCTAATTCCTACTTATGCGTTTCCTCTATGGTCACGTGGTCTACGTAATTCAATAATGGGATCCCTTGTGTTTGCTCACTGACAATCTATGTTCAAACTCAAGTGTTGGCAGTGATATTTTATTGCTATATAGACTGGAATTAACCATTTTTTGTCGTATCAATGAGATACAAATACGTTCATTGATACCCAACCCATATTGAGGACAGTTCATTACAACCTCTTTTACATATATAATAACCGCTGACTATAAAAACAATAGCAAAAGGATTTCTATGTAAAAGTGATTGATATTTAATAAACAATGAAAATATTAATTTTATTCCTGTTAGGTGAGGAGCTGAATAAAATTATTTTTGAGAAGTTAAAAAAATAAATATAATTTAAAAAAAAATCTTTACACTATTTACATTGTTCGAACTGTTGTCCACATCTTTGTTGTCATATCCACAACGTTTCAGCTATTATACGCACCGACCTTCTTCACGTGATTGCAATTTCGAACCGATCCCTTTATTTCGTCCACCTGGGTAGTTGCACGTGCCATGCCTCTCCCGGGTATCTCAGCTTCAATTATTTCCCTTTTGTAACTGTCCTTGGGGACACATGGCCCAGTGGAGCAGAGGTGAACAAAAACTTGGACAGTTGAGTTCTGAGATATCCGGAAGAGGCATGGCACGTGGAACTAAAACAATGTAAATAGTGTCAATAATTATAATACCTCATCTCAGGAATATAGACAGATAACAAAAATTCTTACCAATTACGTTTTTATTTATTTATTTATTTATTGTGTTTGTTTTTGATCATATGATGATAGGCATCACCTTCAAATTATTAAGAAATGCTTCTAAAATCAGCAACCCCTTGTATTTTAATGTAATAATCATTATCTCTTACTTAGCAGTCACACTATTTTCGTCAGGATCTAATCTGTGTTATATCATATCTGAGATCAGTCTGAAAGTAAAGACTAAATTATTATAGCTTCTCTTTCGAGAGTGTTAACCTGTATTAACAATGATACAATTCCACTAACTATATCTGTGACTTGAATTGGATACAAATAGAGGAAATATCCAAGCGAGGTCGGCATACCATAACTGCTGCCCAAGACAAGTTGACTCGTACAAATATATAGATAAGCTTATGTTAGTACAACACAACGTAACCAATGAGATTCGAACACCATAGAATCATAAATCTACGATTCTAGCTTATTAACTATTGCACAATAGCAATGTGTCTAGTTCAATTTTGACAAGTATTGTACAAGGCTAAAATATGGAGCGCCCAGTGATGGTCGATCTCAGTTGATTAGTCTCAATCTGTTATTATTATTATTATTTATTTATTTATTTTTTGCTGAACTGAACTTTGTTATAAGGTTTCAAATATGAGGTATTATGCGAATATCGAGTTGCCAGCATTCGTCATAATCACTGAGTCTTGTTTTTTAACCATTGTTATTCACTAAGCTTAGTATGGTTTAAGACTACAGATAAATGAGGTATTATTCGAATTGCGAACTGCCTATATCAGAATCTAATCCTTACAGGACATTTTCAAGGCAAGCGACACAAGGGGGGATATCGAGTAACCTACATAACAGAATGAATAAAGAAGGGTAGTAAAAGGTTAAAAATTACTCAGTGCATCGAATGATGGGAAGTTGTGAAGAGCTGTGATCGCCAATAAAAGGTCTTGGCACATACAAAACGATTATAAGAGGACATGATTTCCAGACGTTTAATAAATATACACTTAAAATAAATACCAGCAAAAACTTTTTTAATTATTTTGTCATTACTGATAATAGTTATCCCCCTCTCTGTCCAGGGCGAAAGCAATCATAGCTCTCCACAGCTTTCTTTTTAAATATCTGTAAATTGTTCATTGCCGTGGTTGTTCTTTGACTGATTTCTGTTTGTCTTTTCCACGGATTTGAATTTAGATTTGTTTCAAAGAGAGACTGTTTTCGAAACAAGGCTAGAGAATCCAGTCTGCCCTGCTATTTAACTCATAGCTAGAACAGGGATAAGTGATAGATTCATGCCTTTCCCAAGTACATTCGCAGATAGGATTTCAACTTGTCTCGCTGAATCCATTTTTCGCGCTACTACTTATTGTACAACCCGCCGCTTTGATCTACTGACGAAATTTGCGATCAGGAGAGAGTGAAATGTAGATTGCTTGCGTAGTTATACTTTTTCTTTGTTAACCATTGTAGCATACCAATGATGTAATTTTAGTTAAGATGACTGGCAATAGGACAGAGAGATGAGACAATTTAGATTCGTGTCCTTCCCAAATACATAACAAAAATATTTTTCTTTCTTTGATTTCTGCTTCTTTTCTTGATGTGTTTGCTTAAAAAAATCATAGCCATGATATGAAAAATTACATAATTGGCTAGTCATACTAAAAATAGAAAAAAAAATGTGTACATATGAGCTCTGTGTTACTGTAATCGAATTTCACCGTGGTTAATTTGTTATTGGAGTGACTTGATAATATCCGCTTGCGTAGGTGATTCCAGTATCAGGTATGGTTGAAGTTCCTGAAAATCATACCAACCTATGAGTGAAATTGGGTCGATGGAACTGTTTGAAAGCCGACGGTAAATGGGCTAGCACGAAATCACAAGTCATCGTGACCGAGTATTTGAGCGCACAGGCCTTCTTCAAACTGTTGATCAAGACAGATTATGCGATTTGTCCCAGAAATTATAAATAAGGCCCGTTCGGTATAGTTGCAAAATAAACCATAGGTTGATTCTGTTGATATTGAAATTAGCCTGAGCAGACGTCTGTAACAGGGATTAGCCAGTTACCCTAGCGAACAGGCATTCTCGGAAAATGAGCGGCCAACCATATTAATTATAATCAGGTAGCTGACATTCTAGTGAACATAATGAGAAAAGAGGGCCTGGAAAATCTGATACTCACAGGACAGATTGAGGGCATGTGAGACAGAAAAACAGTGCATAACATACTTGATGAGCTTAAATGGATGGTGGAACGGGGTTTAAGAGAAATAACGACAAGATAAAATTTATTAAGAGCTACAAAGGACAGGAAATTGTGGAGAGCCATAATCGCCTACCTCTTGAGGAGACACGACACAGAGGAGAAGGGTTTCAAACCTAACAAAGTAAGAATACTTTAACTAGAAGTTTTTGATCGTTTTGTTTAAGCCATTATATTTGTGTGCTTGTCAAATCTTTGATACTCCCGTGTCTCAGTTACTTTAAAATACCTTCTGAGATCAAAGTT